CTTGCAAAAGGCCCTTTACCCCCCAGACAACGTCGACACCAACGCAACCCTTGAGAGCGGGAATGCAAAAGCCGTTCTGTATTCCGACTAATATCGTAGAATCTCCCACAGAACAATGATAAAAGTACATAAAGTCGGCGGCTAGGTGGGCCTGCCTGGCCGAATCTCCCCCCGCAAATTGAATCCCCCAGCTCTCTCTCTCTCTATGGTAACAAGGTCGTAAGTTGCTAGTAATACATTACACAGTATGGGAAGTTTTTGCCTGATAGTCAAAAAGAACCCGTCATCATCAGAATAGATCATTCAACATCAAGAATCGCACGCCGACCACCACCACCCTCCGCCGCTTCGCCAACCGCCTCCGCTTCGGCCCCCGGATCTTCTTCTCTCCGCCGCCGCCAAAGCCAACTTGAACCAACCGACCAACCGCCTCAGCACTGAGCTTCTTCCTCCTGACCCGACCCCCCCCCCCCCCCCCGGTATAGACAAAAGAAATTGAAGATACCCATCGATTGGGCTTGTTCGGGGTTAGTAGTCGGGGTCTCTCCATACCCCTCTTTCAACTTTTCGACCGACGCCAAAACAAAACAGAAAAGATGAACCGTCGCCCAAGGTGTTTTCGTCATCCAAATCCACGCATTTCTCCTCTTCGTCTCCGCCCCTCCATTATTTTCCCCTCATCTCCTCGGAAATGGAAAACGGAAATGGAAACAAGCCATCAAACGCCCGCACCCCGGGAAAAAAACCCCCAATCAAAACCCCTCCTGCATGCCATGCCCCCCAAACATCCCCCCGCCTCCCCCCCAGGCCCAACCACCCCTCCCTCGCCCATCCCCACGCCATACTGCCCCCACTCCCCCTGCCCGCCTCCATACGCGTGCTCTTCGCCCACGACGTGCATCGCGAACCCCCCCGGCCCCACGACGCCCGTGCCGTACATGGCGTTGCCGCCCGGATGCCCCGAGTGCGGCACGCCCGGGTGGCCGACCCCGTCCGGCAGCGCCTTGCTGCAGCTGGGGCAGTAAAAGTTCTGGCACGGGCCGGGCGGGTGCGCGTCGACGAGCGTCTGCGCCGAGTCGCGGTTGGCGTTGCTGTTGTCGCGCACCCACACCGACGTGAGCGAGGTGCGGGGCGTGGTTGCGCTGCTGAGGAAGCGGGAGGTGCGGATCGTGGAGGAGTGGCGGGGGTCGCCGGGGCCGCCGCTTGGCGCGGCGGCGTCGTGTTGGACGCCGTCCATGTGATGTTGTTGTTGCTGTTGTTGTTGGTCGATGGACTGCTGCTGCTGCTGCTGCTCGAGGTGGTGCTCAATCTGCTGCTGGTGGTTTTGTAGTTGCTGTTCTGAAGTGTGCGCTTCTTGGGATAGGAAGGGCGATTGTGGGACGCCCCCGGCGGGATATGGAGGCGCCGTGGTGAGGTGCTGCGGGTGTAGGCCCGGGCTGCTGGTCAGTATGCTGTAAGGGGGCGCGCCGTACGGGGACGAGACGGGCGGGTAGTCGCTCCACTGCTGCGGGAACGTGGGCCGCTGGAGGGGGGGGTTGGGTGGCAGCGTCGTCATGGCCTGCGTCGGCAGCACGGGGATGCCCGAGGGTCGTCGGAGGGACGAGTTGGGCGTCCGGCTGTTAGGGGGTTGGGGCGTGCGGGCCTTTTGGATCGGGATGGGGATCCCCGTCGTCTTGAGCGCGGGGTCGGATCGGCGGATGCGCTTGGGCGGGGGGTTCGTCCGTCGGCTGTTGACGGATGCGTGGCCGATCGACTCGGGGCTCTCGTCGCGCGACGCTGCCGCGATCTGGGCCTCGCTGCCTGCCACGACCGTGGGCGTGAGGGCGGGCGACGGCGGGAGAACGGACGTGCTGCTCGTCCAGCTCTCTTCGCCCACGGACTGCACGGACTGGGTGGCGGAGCCGGCGCGGGGGAAGAGCGAGATGCCAGTGAACCGCTGCTCCCAGTCCTGGATGACCGTCTCGACCCAGTTGTAGATGGACTTTGTGCTCCTGTCGAGACCTTGGTGGATCTTGCGGTCCACGTCCGAGGACTCGTCGGCGCCTTCGAGGACGTATCGGTACTGGAGCTCGAGGAGATCGCGGAGCTTGCTCAGGAACTTTTTGGATTCCGAGACGAAGTCGAACACTTCCATGACGGGCACGAAAACTGTCGCGAGTTAGGATCATGGCCTTGCGTGGGAGAACGGGGTGATGCTTACCAGGATCGGGAATCGTCCTGTCCTCCGGGAACAACAGTCGCCACAGCGACGTCCAGTTATCGATCTTGAGCCTCAGGGTTCGGGCTTCCAGCGACACAATGATCTTTTGCGTGATGCCGTCCTCGGGGTCGGCCCCGCCCTGGTCAAAGGTGATGTGGCACACATCAGGTCGCCTGAGATGGTCGTCGAGGTCGTTCTTAGTGGGAAATCCCTGGATGCATCGCGGGCAGGAAAAGGGGCCTGCATTTCTCTGGACGGGGGGATGATGGGCGCGAATGTGTTTTCTGGGGTTCTCTGTCAGCGAGACCACAAAAGGGGGAGAGGGGGGGGAGGGGGGGGGGTTCGCCATACTTGAGCTGAGACATGTCGGCAAACGAGTGCGTAGCGCAGACGTAATAGTTCCGAACGTTGAACCGCAGTGGGTTCCGCTTCCGGTAGGGGCAGCTAAAGTTGGACGATATGTTGTTCCGGCCGTTGGGAGGCTGCGTTCCGGTCGCCGTATTTCCTCCCTCGTCGCCGCCGCCCCTCCCTTCATATCCGTCGGGCTCATCGCCGCCGCCATCTGCTTTCCTCTTGCCCTTCCCGCTGCCATTCAGCGGAACCCCGTCGCCGCCATTCTCCCGCCCTAGCGTATCGCTACTGTTCGGCGAGGAGCCGCCCTGCTCGGGCGAAGCCGCGGCCTGTCTCAGGTGCCCCTGAGCCGCAGCGATCCACAGCTCCTGGAGGTACCGCTGCGTGCAGTCCGACACGAGCAGCGGCGCGACGCACTCGTCCACCTCCTTCCCCCACAGCGACCGCAGCACCCAGCTGGAGATCTCGTTGGCGACGCGCGTCTCCTCGTGATCGACGTCGTCGCTCTCAAAGTTGCGGTGGATGGCGATGGGCGTGAACGGAGGGCTCGAGGCCGAGGCATGGTGGTGCGTCGTCGGCGTCTCGGGGTCGATAACGACCACGTCGGGGATGCCGCTGTCGTTGTCGGGGTGATGGTGATCCTGGTGGGCGGCGGCGGCGGCGAGATACTTGGTGGCTTCCTCCAGGAGCAGGTGCTGCGGGATCATGCCGCCACCGACGTGGGCGGCGCGCGAGACGCGTGATGGTGGGCGGCTGCACTCGGACTGCGTGTTGACGCAGGTGGTTGACGACAGCATCGAGTCGATGGAGCCGATGCCGCGGTGGTGCTTGCGGAAGGCGTGGTCGCGCATCGAGGCGTCGACGCGCTGCGGGGAGTCGTCGTCGCAGGCGCTCTTGGACATGGTGGGCGTCACGGGCCGGGGGACATCGCGTTGGGGGTACGGCGTGGGGTCGATGACGACCAGCTGGTGGTGGCCATGGGGGCCGGCGGACGAGTAGTCGCCGACGAGGGTGGTGGGACTGCTGGGGGCGGTGGTGCCGCCGAGGCTGGGCGACGTGTCGAGATGCTGGGGCTTGGAGTGGTGCCGCTCGTCGTGGGAGCTGGTGCGAGGACGGGTCCGATGGGGCAGGGAGATGATGGCGATGTCGCTGCCCAGCTTGTGTGCGACGCGCGAGGGCGCAGGATACCTGCTGCCCCTGCTGGGTGACTCCATCGCTTCCGGCGTCGCACACGGTCAGCGACCGAGGAAGCACAAGATGTCGATCGCGCGGTCGTCGTCGGTAGTGTCTGCTGCTGTGCTCTGGTGTCTGCTGGGAGTCGGGAGTCGAGACTCGGGGAGCACTATGTGGTGCTCCAGTGGTGGGTCTCACGCCAGCGGCCCGGCCCTGCTGCTGCTAGAGCGTGGAGCGTGGAGCGTGGAGCGTGGAGAATGGGAGTGAGATGGATGATGGATGATCAATTGACGTCGTCGCCGCCGAGCGCGGTCGTTCGTCTACCACAACAGCCAACCGGCCCTCGATCGAGCGCGGGGGGGGCTAGGGGGGCGATGGATCTGGTGGAAGCAATCAATGCCCTTGTGGCCTTGACTGGGGAGGAGGAGCCTGGAGAGGCAATTGTTTTCGTGTTTCGAGTTCCCGGGCAGTCTTTCGTTTCCAGTCCCAGGCTACCTAGGTCCCAGGGTGGTCGTCGGCGGGAGCGGGGAGCCTAGAGGGGGGAGGGGAGGAGGTCGTCAGGGTGTTGGGATGGAGGGCGCTTGCATGACAATCAACAGTTCAAACTGATGACTTTCACAAAAGAGAAGCGGAACCCATCTGGCCTCGTCGAGTCGTCGTCCCGCCTTTCGATTTTTTTCCGGACGTGTGTTTGGAGCCGGGGGTCCAAGTTCGGTAGAGGCCGCGCTCGTTTGCCCTGGAGAATGGGGATGGGGGGGGCTCGGCGGCGTGGTGTAATTTCGATCAACCGAATCCAGCACTCGGGAGGTTCGTGCCTCTGTTCCAATCGAGCCCCCCAACGCGCCAACCACCCGCGCGCCATTGGCTCAGTTGACGAGTCCTGGGCGTGTCGGCGTGGTCGGCGCCCCTATTCCTCACAGGCCCGATCCGGCCCAGGGGCCTATCGATAGGGGGCATCTTTCCCCCTCGGGCCCCCCTGGCCGACCTTCGTGGACAACCCTGACCCATTCATCGCATTGTGAGGCCCTGTCGATGAACGAACAGGGAAATTCTCGATCTCGAATCCGCTGATCGGTGAAACCTCGAGCCCCGTGGGGCCAGCAAGGCTGAGGGGGGAGGATGGCTTCGCGAAGGAACTGTCGGCGACTCGACGGTGGCGGGAAGAGGGTCCGTCCGTTTGTTTCAGTTTCAGGTCCCCGTCCGGTGCCACGGTGCCGCGGGTCTGTGCCGGCGACCAAAAATCTAGAACACTACCTAAGAGAGACCAAAAAGTGGATGACAAAGACGAGATTCGAACTCACGCCTGATTTCTCAGACCAGGAAACATTCGTTTGTGCTGAATGGGGAATTCAGGTGGACCTGAACCTGGTGCCTTGGACGCTTGGCTACTTTGCCTTTGGAGATATGATGGCAGCTCCACCATTACCTCTCACGTGGGTACCATACCTAGTTTAAACGAATGGAATTCCAGTCAAGGGTCGAGGTGGATGGAGTTCAGATGGAGGCAGCTATATCTGCGAGTCATGATATCCATCCAGTGCTAAGCCCTGTCAAACTAACTTTGACATGATAGGACGGACGACTGCCAACCCAAAGTCAGCGTCAGCGTCCCGCCTCTACCACTTCAACCTCAAGCTCGACGCTAGCGCAAGCCATGGCGGGCCTGGTCCGATCCGACACCTTGACCTCCATGGTGAAGACCAGGAAATATAGGCAAGGGGCCCAAGTAGACCCGCCCCATCGCACAGAGATTGAGTTCCGCCTTCCTCCCCGCAATCGCGGTCCCGAGTTTCCGGGGAAGCGAGGCGTTGACACCGGGATAGGCAGATATCCATCCTGGCGAACCGAGGGCTAGAGCTTGGTCGCCATTTCGTTAGCAGGACAATGGCAAGTGCGTAGCTTCCGCAACCACGGCTGAATGCTCCCGTACGGGTATTCATCCGTACCCACCGCAAGCATACCCAAGACGTCCAAGTACATGAGGGATGGCCTCGAAGTTGGCCCCCGGGGCATAGACCTGGCCAAAGTTCAGGTCCTGCTTGCTTTGTTTGTCGGCAGTTGAGTGCTAGAAGAAAAAGACGAACTCTAGAGTGTCTACGATGAGTTGACAGCTCTTGGAAGAGATGGAACATCAACAATCCCCTTCGGGTGATGCCATAGCCGCTACCATGCCGTAGGCAACGTCGACTGTCTAGCCCAGATGGCGAGCATGGAGTTTGAACGTTGCCTGTCAACCTTTAGGTGAGGCTTCCGATCGGTCTCTCCTTTGGCCATGACGGTGCAATGCCTGGCATCTGAGAGCTACTCTTGCAAGGGCAGTCTAGCCTGATTCGTGTATAACAGGGCGGCTAATGCTGCCGGTAGGCGGCGAAAGAAACTGTCGGTCGAGTGTCGGCTAGTGCTGAATCTTTGTAACAGCCGCGGAAGATGCTCGCGGCTACTCCCAGTGCCGTAGCGAGAGCTCAAGCTACAGACTCGAGAGGCTCCGCACCACTCACCGATTCTGCCTTGGGTATCGAGGTCTCGGCCGAGAAGGGTACGGTGAATGTCCTTTGGAGTCGTCCGTTAGCTCTGAAAATATTGTCAAAGGGAGTGAGGGGGACAAGTCGAGTTTTCGAGTTTCGTGTAATGCAAGGAGCAGGGTCAAGGCCTGGCAACTGTTGGACGGAACTTGGTCTCATGCCAGCTTTTCAGGCTGGAAATATCAACAGCAGTGATGACGGTGGTGGTACGGTCATGAGACCCGGGTGAGTGGTTGAGAGGAAGTGAACACTGAACACGGCAGCAGAATCGCAGATGTGGTGGGGTCGATCACAGCATGAGCTGAGCAGACGTCATTTTAGCGCTGCAGGGCCCTGGGCTGAGACAGGTTTAGCGGCCGCCTCCCCGATCGAGACTCGGCAGGCAACGGCTTTGTGGTGCTCATTTTGACTTGACATCGCGAGATCCCCTCTTTTCGCATGGGTGTTGGTCTCGACAACCTTCTCGCCCAGATCGACTACCAGAAGTTAAAAATCCGGAAGAACCACCGCAGCTCGAACAATTGGACCGCGGCCGGAATGCCGCCAGTTCGCGTCAAGTCGCGCCCGTTGCCGCAGGCCGACGGAGGACTGCGCACTCCCTCGCCCTTTGGCAGCAGTCGTCTCGTCCGGTTCGGCCCCGACCTGCCCGACATTGCTGCCGAGGACAGCTTTCGCGACGTTGTCAAGAAGATATCCACGTATGTTTGTTGTCCGGCGTCCTGAAGGAAATCCAAGACACACCCCCCCGGGCCTCCATGCCGTCCCCGCCGCCCCGCCGCCCCGCTAACTGTTGCCAAGATACATCACCGAGGCCGTCCAGCTTCCGAGCACCTTTGAGCAGCTCCGGACCACATCGGCCGGCGAGAACCTCCGGCATCTGGTGGAACATCTCGGCCGCACGTGTACCCATCCCGCCATTGTGAATGCCTTGCTGTAGGTTCTCTGTTCTCCAGTCCATGGCCTACTTGTACTGACCCCTCGGTAGCGCCCTCAAGTGGCACTATGGTGCCATCACCGAAGACAAAGGCCTTCACGATGCGAGAGCCAATGCCTGCGAGATAGTCGCCTGGCGCTTTCTAACACACTTGTCGGAGCGAGAGGCCGTCGACTACTGTCTCTATGAGATCCCGGAGCAACCCTCTACCGACTCGGACGGTCGACGGAGCGACGAGGAGGACGGCGAAGTGGACGAAAACAGTGCTCTGCTGGCCCAAGCATGGAACGGTACCGCCGATTCTGCTCGCCGAGCCTTTACCCAGTCCGGAAGTGGCCGGAGAAGCATGCTTTTTCAGTCCATCACTCGCCTCACCGTGAGCATGACAGCCGACAGTGACGACGAGGACGACGAGGACGACCCAACGGCCCCCTTCATCCACCTCAATGCTCTAGAGATTGCCGCCATTGCCGACGCCAAGCGCTTCCTCAGCCAGAACGTGGTCCAAAAGATCATCACGGGCATCTGGAATGGAGACATTATCTTTTGGGACAATCTCTCTGCCCACTCCGTCAAGAAGCCACGGTTCTACAACCGCGCCACCGCCGATCCATTCTCCCGGCTGAGGGTGCCCAAGTATCTCAAGGCGTTTGAGGTGCTGTTCTTCGCCAGCTTCCTGTTCCTGTACTACGCCGTCCTCGTCGAGCGGGATCCCTCTCGCATCACGACCCTCGAAGTCTTTTTGTACCTTTGGTTTGCCGCCTTTAGCTACGACGAGCTGAGCGAATGGATCGACGCCGGGTCCGTCTTTTATGCCACGGATGTCTGGAACATCTTTGACATGGCCATGCTTCTCATCGGTCTCATCTTCTTCATCCTTCGTACGTCTTAGTCCCCCCTGAAGATATCCTCTGCTGACGACCCAATTCAGGTATTGTTGGACTCCGGCTGGATGATGACTGGTACATCGACCTTGCCTTTGACGTCCTCTCCCTGGAGGCCCTGTTCATGGTCCCCCGCGTTTGCTCCATCCTGAGCTTGAGCCCCTACTGGGGTACCTTGATCCCATGCCTTAAGGAGATGGGAAAGGATTTCGTCAAGTTCATGGTCCTGGTAATCATCATCTACTGCGGGTTCCTCACCACCTTTTCCCTCATCGGTAGGGCGACGTACACGTTTGGCGAGATGACATGGTTCCTCACAAAGATCTTTTTCGGTTCGAGCTACGTCGGCTTTGACATCATGACCAAGATCGACCCCATCTTTGGGCCCCCCCTGATGGTCTTCTTCGTCATGCTCAGCTCCATCCTCCTCATGGGCTCCCTCACAGGTATGCTGTCCAACAGCTTCAGCCGTGTCATTACGCATGCCCGCGAGGAGTATCTCTACGTCTACAGCGTATACGTGCTGGAAGCGTCGACTAGCAATCGGCTTACCCACTTCTATCCGCCCTTTAACATCCTCGCCCTCGTCATCTTTCGCCCGCTTCGCCTCTTTCTGCCCTCGGACCACAAGTTCCGCAAGGCTCGCATCTTGCTCCTCAAGGCGACACATCTCCCCATCGTCGGCGCCATTGAGCTGTACGAGTGGGCCATGGGCAAGGTGCAGAATGGCGGGACGCAGTACAACGGCATGAAGGGACCCCGTCACGCCATCGTTCCTAGTCCCATGCCCCCCCAGAAGAAATGGGCCCACTCCCCCGTACGACCCGGGCGCCCGGGAGCGCAGCAGCGGGACTCCTCTTCGTCCCTGGCGCCTGTCGAAACCATGCATCCAGCTTCTGCTGCGTCCATGGCCCGCCTCTCGGCCACCCGGAAACGCGCGGCAGAGGAGGCGGCCGAGGATCAGATCTTTGAGGGGGCGGATGGCGAGCTCCGGCTCCAAGTGGCCGACTTGTCGGCCAAGATTGACCGGCTGACAGAGCTGGTGATTACGATGCAGTCAGCACAGTCCAAGTCGTTGACAGACGTCGCCGTCGCGTAGAACGTGAGGGAGACTTCAGATAATGTCGAATACATGTGTTGTCTACCGTGTGGATATATATACAACTCGGGGGAAGAAGGGTGAAGTGAGTAAGGTTGCTTTCTGTTTTTGGAGTAAATGGACGAGAGTTCTGAGCATCATTAGCGTTGAAGTCCCTCCTTTCGGGGTCAGTAAGAGACAACCTCTGAACATACTCCCTTTATACCTAGTAAAACAATGCATTTTTACCAGATATTTCTTCCGGGTTGGAATCTCGAACGCTGTAAATGGGAGGAACTGAAGCGGAAGAGGTGTGGGTTCGGTTTACTGTAGAGGTGGTTCCGATCGCACCTTCCCCTGGCAGTCTCTGCCAACCCATTCTGCTGAGATTTCCAACCCCCCCGACCTTCCACCCCTTTCTGCATTCGTATCCCCTCCCTCGTATTAAGAGGCTTGCTAGCCTGAAGGGAAACCCAGGGTCAAAGTCCGCATCCGTGTGTCTTCCCCGAGTCCTTCCTGCCAGACAAGGCAGCAGTACTCCCACAATGGACTGCAAGACGGGAGACGACTTGATCGACCTCAAAGAGTCCCTATCCGCCCTCCCAGAATCAACTGAATGGTCAACCTCTGACCTCGAGCCCGACGAGTACGCCCGATACAACGATCTGACAGTCGACAGCCTTCAGGATCCGTGGCCGGCATGCTTCGACGACTACGTCCTGGCCACTCTCTCCCCAGTCGAGGGTGAATGTCTCATCGAGGTCGAAGGCCTCCGGGAGTGCCTCTTTCGAGAAGTCATTCCCGCCCCGGAGCAGCTGCAGATGTCCGCCCCGTCCCTGAAGCTCATCCAGGAGGCCTGCAAGTCCGTCGCCGAACCTGACGTGGCCGGTCTCATGGCAGAGCTGCGGTCGACCCTGTCGTCGGAGCCCAAGCCGGTGTCCAAGTTCGACGTCCCTGTCCTTCGGACCGACCACGAA